CTGTAAACTTCTACACCAGATTTCCTGAAACACAACTGTTCCTCTACAGTATCATTAATGTTGATGTTCAGAGATGCCAGTTGGTTGTTGATATTTTCAACAACTTCACTCTCTTGTTGCAGAGGAGTCATTTGCGTTTACTGCGGTGCCGGGTGCCTCGCCTGTCACTGCGTCCGTTGTCATTGTCCATTTCCCCTTCCACCTCGTCCGTCACTTCCGCACTTCGTCCAAAGGAAGAATACAGGGTATTTGCTTATTATTATTTTGCACTCATGTAAGGAGATAACAATCGGAAAGAAACGAAGCAGTAAGCTTTGTTTTGGTCAACTTCACTCTGTTGACGAGCAATTTGTATGGGTTGGTCACGTGGTGACACATAACTGATTGCTTTTATTATTATTATTACATACTAATACTAACTATCTCTTTGTATGTCACCCACATCTTATTATTGGATCATCTATGAAATAAGGTAATTTTAATTAATAAAACCAGGAATATAATAACTGTAAGTTTTTAGAGTTCTTTTCAAAAGCGACATTATCTTTTCATAGGATTATAAAATGGGCTTGTGGTCAGCCTATAAGCTTTGGAGCTATAAATATGGAGTGAACATACATTTGTGATGGTCTATCTGCGTTTCTAAGAATTATCAAAAGCATGATCAAAAGACAGTAGAACACTATTGTCATATGTCATACGCAGGATACTAACATGGACAAATACTGCATTTCAATATTCAACAGAAAGCCTTTTACTTTCAGACATGTCTAAAAAGAGACTATGGAGTGACGACCACGGTATTTTGATGCTTCAACAGATGTTCTTTAAGTAAATCAATTATACCGGAACTTTATTCGTCAATGTAGCTTTAGTATCCGTCGGCCTGCCTCCAGAAACAGATAAATGGAAAAGAATAAAGATTGAGAATCCGTCCTTCAGCGAAGGTATCTTAATTATGCTCAGATAGACATTATGCGATGGTATAGCAAATTTTGAATCGCTGACACGTCTCAGGTGTAGACTTCCTTTACCAGAAGGTAACTTCAGAGCTGCAAAAAACATGTCATGGCAAAATATCGCGAGATATTATAAACGTACTTTCAGATATATCAGCCTGCGCTCGGTGTACGCTGAGGTTTCTGTCAATAAGAGATTGGAATGTTTATTCGGCGCCGGAAGAGGTATGTCCTGTTTCGAATAAAACTCTCCGATTGACATATATTTTCTGTTTTTTAATAATTCTACTCTTACCCAGTTATTATTTGAAACTTTTCGCCGAATATGTGCAAATTTTGATGTTGAACCGCTGTCTGAGACGCGTGCAAATGTGTATACTACGGAAGAGATTATCTCGCCACGCGAAAGTCCAACTATATGCCCTTTATGCTTTGATCTCCTTCGTTTTGCAGATAAACTCGACTGCGTCTGGCCAATTTGTGAGAAGTACTACGCGCACGATTACAAGGTGACAGATTTCAATCTGAACATAGTTCTTCCTTCTGGTGTTATTGTGAAGAATCATTCGGCTTTAATCCGGATACAACGACTGGCGGCGTGAGTATTTTTATACAATTGCTATGTCTTGTTGTGTATACGTGGCTCGAAAGGATATGATTTATTAACGTAATTTGAGATTAGATTCACTGGAGACTATGTTGTTGATTTGAAAGCCCCATACAAGTCGTTATTGGGATCGTCGATTCAGGAAGCTCTTGGGTTGCAACATTCATCTGGTAGCAAATTCTTGATAAACGTTGAATATTGCCATCCAGAAACCCAAGAGAATCATCGTTTTTTGACGCGAGTATCTTCTGCGAACTTCCAGTTGAAGAAGATCAAAGTGAAGGTATGCGACCGGGATTTTTTTTTTAATGACATTGAGTCTGGTGTACCAAAAGTTGTTGATAATTCGTAAACAGGGAAAGGATGTATGGACGGGTGATTCTCGGCAAAACATCGCGAAAGCTCTGGCTGTCACTGGTGACGATGATTTTATTGAGTAAGTGTGAACCTATTAATTATTCCTCTCTAAATCATTGTCTTACTTTTCTTGTATTGTTAGATATGGCGAATATCCTCCAACGGCAGTCACAGAACGATTTCAAATTTTAACAATTCGATTAGAACATTCTCCTATTTTTGTTGGAGGTCTGTATGCTATCCGCGGAAGGGTATTATTCTATTTGAACGTTCTTACCGACTTGTTTTCATTATCCCGTCGACAGGCAGATATCTCAAACTCTCTCGAGACATCAGTCAAACCCCTTGGGTTGTCAGTGGCTCACGATTAACTGAAAAATCAGTGTCGGAATGTATTGGTGAAATATTGAGGGAAAAATACAGATGCGATGGTAGGATTAACTAATTTGCAAAGGAGATAAGATACTTGGTTAATATTCCAGTCGTATCGTTATCTATTAAGTATCATGCATGATCCGTTAGTTACTCATATCGTCTCGCCTTTTCCCAGATTACAACTTTGTTTCTGCTGGTAGAGAAGATGCGAACGTCAGGATGCTTGGTAATGGGCGACCTTTCTATTTAGGATTAATTAACCCAAGGGAACCGTGTTTGTCACAGCATGAATTGAATGACGCCGAAATGGAAATTGCTGAGCTATCTGGGAAATTGATACGCGCTCATAAGCTAAAGCCTATAGATGAGTAAGTACACGTGTAATTATTTTTTACTTGAAGCCATCAATAATAGAATTTCTGTTTTATAGATGTCACCTGCCTACCATCAAAACAGGCGAGGAATCCAAGGTGAAAAAATACAGGTGAGCTATGATGAACGCATCTGAACATGAATTTATCAACTTATACAGTATATCTTTACAAGTATGCTAGTATGGCTTTCAAAAATGGTCTCTACAGAGATGGTGAATAAGTTAAACGAAATCGGGACTTCAGGCATTACTATTGATCAATGGACACCAATTCGTGTGCTGCAAAGGTAACCAAACATTGGCTTTGACGATAAATTCAACAATCAACATGGCGCAATGATATAATCAAATTTATGAATAGACGCGCGTTAATGGTTCGCAAAAAAAGGATACATAATCTTCTTGCTGAAGCTCTTGGGGAACATTTCCTACGCATTGAGTTAAGAACGGAGGCTGGAACGTATCCTTCTTTTAAATTAAATCTCTACTCAAACTTTTGTTGTAAATACCTTTTTCCTTAACATGTGTTACTAATTAAGCTACATTAAAGAATTTATTCATGGTGATCTGGGCAGAACAACGCCCAGTTTGGGTAATCTAGTTGGCTGTGATGCAGATATACTAGAGTTGGACGTTATTGATGTTGAATTGGCGTGGCCTCCGGAGGACTGAAGCTATGGAAGAGAAATAAAGAATCACAATTGCAGTCAGTGTGCATACTAATATGGTTAAGAGCAAGACATCCTTGTTTTTGTTTGATGAACCGCCAGAGTAAATCCGTCAGAGCATATGTATACATGCATACACATACATGCATAATAATAATGATTAAATATTTCAGGGTTAAAAACGCCCAAATATCAAAGGATCCGATATTAATATACAATGTTACAATTATTTTACACCTAACATAAACACGTCTAGCACGTTATGTATGCACTTTACGTCTGAAGTACAAGCAAAGCTTGTTTTTGAGCTACAGCGTATTAGCGGTGCCATTACAACATCTTTTAAGATAAGTGCAAAACACTGTGTCAGACTCTATTACGATTGTCAATTATCCCAAGTTAGATGCCTACACGAAAATGTTTCAGAGGTGCTAGAATATCCATCCATTATTAGCGCAATCTGTACTTTCGAACAAGTTATTTGTTACAATTTTTAAATACAGTCAAAGCTGATTATAACGAATTCTACGACCAGAGAAAATATTCTTTATAACCAGAAATTCCTTATAACGAAAGTCACTTTTTATAGCTAAGATTATGACTATTTATAATTGGCTTGGAGAAAATCTTCGTTATAACCGAAGTTCGTTATAGCCAGCTTTGACTGTACTGGTTGCAATGCAACATAATTTTTTTTATTCCGGATAATTTGTAATTAATACACAATGAGTAGAGGAACAAGTTTCTACGCTGTCGTAATTCAGTTAATAACAAATTTAATCTAGGTGCAGAGAGCCCTTTTCCCCAAAGAAGAATCCCTCTTCATAAAGCGTAAACTTTTGCACGAAAGCGTACGCGTTTTTTGCGCGTAAATAACTCGACACAAAAATATATAATATCAATACAATTCATATTGCAGATGATATGCTAATCAAACAATTTCTTTTATACATCA